GAAGATTACTAACCTGGTAACTTTGTTTCTTCATGCAAATCCTTTGTTTCTTCACGAAAATCCTAAACTCAGCAAATCCTTCACGCTAACGAAAGAAGAACCTTCAGATTAGGTCTTGTAGATTTGAGAAAATGAGAATCGGGCTTAGAGATTTAGAGATATTATTTAGAAATGGTTCAGGTTCTATTTTGGGAACGTAAGGGTTACATAAAACGGGTAAGATATTTTTTAAACACTTAGCGACGTGTAGTTGAAAATAATTCACATCAAATATGTTAAGAGGGGTATGTAAACACCCGTGTAGTTTAAGTACTAAAGTAAATTCTCGTGCCAAGTTCGAAAGGTTTTTATGTATTTTCCAATAAGATTTTATTAAAAGTGAGAACATGACCAACCAAAGATATATCCACACACTGTTAAACATACAGCTCACTGCCGCTCAATTATTTGTCCTGTAAACATAGAAACATTCGTAGTATTCTACATATCAAAACATTGGTACTTTTCACTGTTTTGTCCTAACTTGATATTTTCTATTATAATCTCATTTATTTCTCTTGTATATAATTTAATTTAAGTGGCTCATCAATTTGATAATGACCTTCACGTACCTAATTATTTCTTCTGTCAGTTCACCCATCATATTTCTTTTCTTTTTTTTTCATCAGAAAATTCACATAAATAAAAAATAAGACAGTGCCATTATCAGTCAGCCATTGGGTTCCATTATATGAAAAAGGATATTCCCTTTTCCTGGCATGAAATTAGTGTACTAAACACATTTTCATTTCAATTATAAGACTTTTATTTATTTATTTACTGATAATGACAAATACCTAATAATGACAAAATAAAATGGATTAAAAAAATTAAGAACCCAACGTCACCCCATATTCTTATTTGCTTCTTACAGATATAATATACAAATACAAAATTTGACTCTCTGGTGTAAACACATGTTCAATTATGTATTAGGGCCCACGGTGTGGTTCACACGCATTATTAAACTAGGATTAAAATATTGAAAATTGAGATTATTTACATGGTAATTAATGATTAGAAAATTACTATAGATGTTGAAAAATTAACTGTCTTAATTGGAGGTGTCAAAAATGAGTTGATTCGCCTAATCCGCTCAAAATTTAAGGATTGAGCTCAAGATAATTTGAATTGGGTTCAATCTCAACTAATTCAAGTCTTAACCTATTTTAAGAGAATCATCAATTGAGCCCAATTTAATCTCTCATTTCAATATGCTTTAAGACTCTTTATTATGTATGTTCCTATAATGAAGGTATGAATTACTATCTATTTTATAACTTTTAGGATCTATCTATCCATTTGTAACTTCTTTTTTAAAATTTTCTCAAGTTGATATTCTAATTTTGGTTATAAAACTTAAGCCAATTTGAGCTCAAAGTAAACTTGGGCGGTCAGGACCCAACTCAATTTCTATTTCAACCCATTTTACTATCTCTAATTTCAATCCAATTCGTCTATTTGATACCCCTAGTCTTAATTATTCAATGTTCAGATTTAGAGATAATATCTTAATCATTAAAATATGCATTCAGATTCAGACATTAATTTTAATAAAAATAAACTATGCTTTAATTTAACATTCAATCAATTAACATGTGTGATTTTGCTCATAAGAAATGTGTTATATTTGAACTATTTTTAGAAGTATGTTATTCTGGAATATGAAGCAATAATATCGACTTACATAATATGCGGGTAAAAAGATGATGGAACAGTTGTGAAAATTTGTGATTATTGCACAAGTAGAATGACCAGAAGTTTGTATTTCAAATATATTGAAGGTTAAATGTATTAAAAAGAGATACCATAAAGATTAAAATTATAATTTAATATTATTTGAGGGATAAAAAAATGGCATTAACCCATTTAATAATTTAATTTCTATATTGTTAGTTCACACATTCTTATTACATATCATATCTCGTATAAATTAGAATTAATTATACTATACATGCCTATAATATGACTTAATTTTGAATATACTTTATGTATTTTAAAATCAAATACTTATACTTTCTCTAAGGCCTATTCTTAAATATAATAAGTACATCAAAGTATCTATTACTAATATATAAGTGGCAATAAGCACACAACTGGGTGTCAACATTATAAGTGGCAATAAGGACACAACTGGACGTCAACATGTATGTTTCACCGCAAATTTAGCTACTTAGTTATTGGTTGGAGCTTATAATGTCAAAGGTCTCAGGTTCAAACCTTACTACTAGCAACATTAGTTTATTTCATTGTTCATTTTGCTCCTATGTTGTTTTATCAATTAATTTTTATAAAGTTTATGGCATTTTTCTTCTGTATTTTTATATAATTAATTTAGCCATACATTTCGCAAAAAATATTTAGAATTTGAATGTTTTTTTAAAAAATTAGTTAAATTATTTAATTTGATTAATTTTTAAATTTAAGCTATGTAAAAAGTGAAAGCACAATAATTAACAACCTAAAATATTTGAAAAACATATTAAAATGTGATTAACTGTCGAAATTTCACATGTGCCACATAGATTGGGACAACATGAGTAACAATTATTATTTGAAAATTACATTAAGAAATTACTAAAACTCTTGAATCGAAATAAATAGAAAGTACTTATATCACTTTTCTAAATATCTTAAATTTATGTTATTTTATTTTCATTAAGATTAAGACGTTTGAATTTTAATAGACATATAAATGATTAAGATATTATCTCTAAAACTGAACATTGAATGATTAAAACTATTTATTTTTCAACATTTGAATGTGTGTAAAATATTTATTTATTTATTTATTATTTATAATTATAATAAATATACAATTTAAATAAAATAATAATTAAATACTAGAAAAATAGAAATTCAATAAAAACAAGTTTATTATTTGATAAAAAAAATCATAAGATAAAATTAAAACAATATAATAATTAAATATTATATTAATAATATCTTTGAGAAAATATTAATTTAATCACTAAGCTAATAAACATAAAATATATCAGTTATTATAAACTTAATGTATCTAAATTATATCAAATGAATGAAGAGAAAGAACACTATTTTTCTTTAGTTAGGTAGTTCTCCCGACCGTAAGACCCTTTATGAGTAAGGTTAATCGAAAGTCGGGGAAAGTTTATTGGCAAGAGGGAACCATTTCTCACCCAGCCCTACCTACCCTATGTATTCGAGGGAGAGGCTGGAATCGAAAAAGACCAGGTTCCACACTTATGAGACAGGCAGACGATATGAGACGAGCAGTTTTTTGAAGAGCGAATTTGATCCTATAGTCTTCTAATCATCTATAATCAAGCCATAGCCATTGCTGCATCAAATGAGTAAAAAGAGCGTCAAGTATGCGTCAGTCGTTGTTTAAGCATTTAATAGTTTAATAAATAGCACTCAATGATTTAAAGACTTTAAGTTTAGATGACAAAATCAGACACTTTAAGCCTCATTCAATGGTAGTAAGAAGTCGTCACTTATTTTTAAAATAAAATTTTATTTTTATTTATTATTTTTGAAATATCAATAAAAGATATTAAATACTTATTTTCTAAAATATTTTTTAAGATTTAATACTAAACATCATTTAATAAGGATAGTTTAATAAAATACATATATCGATAATTATTTTCTTAATTTGAGTGTCAAGTCAAATAGTGAGAAATAAAAATAAACGAAAGAGTAATAAACAAATGTACTTAATGGACTGCAATCTAAATAATTAAGATTTAGACTTTCGTTAATAGCAAATAAATAAGATCTTAATTAGATGAGGATCTATTGTATAGAATACTCATTAAGGAAAATAATTGTATTTGCTCATGTATTCTTAGGTTAAACAAATTATATATATATATATATATATATATATATATATAAAAGACCCTTGCAGAGTTTCCCAACAGCATAGAGCTTGGGAAGCTCGGATCCAATCAAGATCCGAACAACAATGAGCACTCCTCCACAAAGCAAAGTAGATCAGAACTTTATAACATAAAACATGAAACTATACAAGTATAGACAAAATCAAACAGACCCACAAGCCAGAATTCTCTAAAAAGGCCTAAAAGATTAAAACTTTCCATATGAATAAACAGATCAACAATTGATCTTTTTACCAATGGATGAAGGTTGAGAAAAGAAATGTGTGGAAAAAAGTTAGACAGAAAAGAGAGTGTGTTGTAAGAAAATTGATTTACGTCTGAAATGATAAAGGGATTTTTGCTTGATCATACAACTTATGTGAGAATAAATAAATCCATGTGACTGTTATGTAGGATAATAATAAGGGTGAAAACATGGGAATTAACTGGTCAAGGATAAATAGAAGTCCAAAGTTGAATGGTAACAATAAATATATCAAAAGAATAAGACGAGGATATATATAATTCTTTAAAAAATACATTAAAAAAAATATGACCTTTTTCCGTACTTATTATATAAGAGATTGAATTAATTTTATTTTTTTAAAAACAAAAGTAGGAATGGCAATATTATATTTAAAGAAATTCAAAAAATTAATTAATTTGAAAACTTAGTTAAGAAGATACAAAGTGTGAATATATGAAGAAAAATATGGTCTGTGCAATTTTTGGAAGTTAACGTAAAAGCTAAAAGCTCTGAACTGTTATTCGTACAAATTTTTGGATCCTTTTCATCTTGGCCAAAACATTATGATTGTGACTTTTACATCCATTCTAATTTTTGAAGGTGGACGAATTCAATTTGTCCACTACATTCACATGGACAAAAATACTCATCATCATATTATCGATGTTAGATTTTATTAAATATATTATTATTATAAATTATTCGTGAGATTATATTGAATATATTATAAATTATGTTAAAAGATTGCAGGTTAAAATGGTCACCAGTGTTAAATTTTTGTTCTTCTTTAAATGGTCATTACGTTTTCACTAATCATTCCTCAATTTAAGTGACTTAAAGTTAATTATACGTTTGATAAGTAAATTGCCAATAATTCATTGAATTATTATAGAGAGTAGCAAACATAATAATAGAAGTACAACACATTAATTTGGTTCCCTAATAATTTTTCAGTAAATCATTAATTCATAAAAATTAGGCCAAATGTACTTTTCAGCTACCAGAAATTGGTCCTTCCCCTTGATAAACAAATCTACTTATCTCCGGTTTGAATTTCTTCTTCCAAATTTCACCATCACTCTCCTTTTTCTCAATTTCAACTATTACCAGTTCTTCAGTTAACCGGTTAACCACCACCATCACCACAAAATTACCATTCTGCCCCTCCACCTTCACAGTGGCGCCACTCCTCTGTGCCACCGTCATCCCCTCCGCCTCCGCCACCTCCTCAATTTTCCCGATTACCTTCTCCGGCGTCTCCCTCGATACGAATCGTTCCTTAATAATGAATCCACCATTGCCTTTAAGCAAACTGGAGAAATTAAAACCAGATGAATACGAGATAATATCAAATGCGTTAAGGAATTCTCCAGTGGAACCTGGACCCGACCAAGATTTGAATTCGAATGGGTGATGATCTGATTTCACCTCTTGATACCCTTTTTGAAACCACGGGTCATTCTTAATCTCCTCAATGGTGATACGAGTAACCGGGTTGATATCAAGCAATCGGGTCAACAACCTCTTCAGCTCCGGCGACGTCCATTTCGGGCAACGAAATTCGCCTTTGTAAATTTTCCGATACATGGTCATTAAATTTGTATCATTGAAAGGTAAATACCCAGCATTGAACACAAAGAGAATAATACCACATGACCATATATCCACCTTAGCACCATCATAACCTTTCTTCGCCAAAATCTCCGGTGCCACATAAGCAGGGGTACCACAAAGTGTATGTAGCAAACCATCCGGTCGGATCTGATCCCTGACAGCGCTTAACCCAAAATCGGTAACTTTCAGGTCCCAATTTTCGTCGAGTAATAAATTCTCCGGTTTCAAATCACGGTGGTAGACCCCGCGAGAGTGACAGTATCCAACGGCAGAGATTAACTGCTGGAAATATCGACGGCTGAGATCTTCGCTAAATCGGCCGTTAGCTATTTTAGCAAAGAGTTCACCTCCTTTAGCGAATTCCAGGACGAAGTAGATTTTCTTCTTAGTAGCAAGAATTTCATGTTGGCGCACGATATGGGGATGACGCAACCGGCGCATGATAGAGATTTCTCTCTTGACGTGCCCCGTTAGCCCACCTTTGAGTATTTTCTGTTTGCTGACGACTTTAATCGCCACACTCTGTGCCGTCCTGAAGTCTCTGGCATGATACACTTTACCAAAAGCACCACAACCCAGGAGTTTTCCCAGCTCATATTTGTCGAAAAGGTTTGAATTAACGTCGTCTTCCGGCGGAGGTAATTCAGCCGGAGTTAATTCAGCGTAGATCGCCGCAGCAGCGGATAGTAAAGATTGACTGCCTTCATAGTTATTATGTATGATCTCTGGCATAACTATATCCACAAACCGGTAAACTAGTAACCCCTTTGTGAATTTTCTCTACCCTTTGCATTAAAACACCGAGCAAATCAAATTTGCTCGATATTGGAAATTTTGATAATTCAATCTTTCCGGTATCCGTCTTCGTCAATCAGTGAGGATTGAGAGGAATTTGCAGAAAAAATGGGTTAATCGCTAGAAGTGTAGAGAATGGCTATGGTAGTTGAAGAATTTTGAGTGCAAAACAAAGAAGATGTATTTGATTTTTTCTTAAAGCAAAAGGGCAGAGAGAAGAGAGATAAAGAAAACAAATTATGGTATATGGAGAAAATGTGATAGCATTTGTACAGGTATTTATTGTTGAAGGAATATTGCCGTCTCTCACTTAAACGAGAAAGATGGTCCCACACGTCGTCGTACGGTTGTTTGTTTTCCCACTTCTTTTTTCCAACAATTTCTTTTTCTCTGTCCTTTTTTTTAGACCATACTGAGTTTAGGGCATCTTCAAGGTATCTTTGGCGATATTCTCTATTTTACTTGTCAAATATAGAATATATTTAGCTACAATTAGCTTTAATTTAATTATCTATTTTACCCTCTAGAATTTTCTTTTCTTTTCTAAATAATATATTATTATTTCTATTTTATTTTTATTTTCTTATTTCACAATATAAATTATTATTTTTCCAAACAATCCCTCTATATAATTTTTATGTAATATAAAATTGTATTTGTTTCAAATTATTTAATTAATATTAAACTATATTTTAAAATTTTTAAATAACATAAATTGCAGCATATATTATATATTATACTATTAATGAACAATTCAAATGAAAGTGAATCATTAATAAATACAGTTACATAAACATTATATAAATACTCAACTTTCAAGATTATTAGTGGGTCTCATTAATGCTTTATTAATACATTATGGAGGTCAAAATTAGGGCTGGGCAAAAACACCGAAAAACTGAAATACCGAACCGAACCGAACTATTTCGGTTTCGGTATTTCGGTATTTCGGTTTTCGGTTCGGTATTCGGTGTATGTTTTTGTATTTTTCGTTATTTCGTTTCGGTTTTCGGTATGTAATTTTTGTGTTATTCGGTATTTCGGTTTATCGAAATATATTATATTAAATAATAAATATTATATTTTTAATTAAATTAGGTCAAAACTCTTTAAACCTTTTGGTCTTTTCAATTTTTTTACTTTACTAAATTCTATTATTCTAACTTTCTAAGCTCTGCTTTAGGCTTTAGCAGCAGCCAGCAGCCGCACAACCAGCAACAATCAGCGACCAGCAGCAGGCGACAACCAGGAAGTCAGCAACCGCCAGTTCCGTCGACCAGCAGCAGCAGCCGCCAGTCCTGTCGACCAGCAGCACACACAGCAGTAGCAACCGCCAGCCACCAATCCCAGTCGACCAGCAGGGCTCAGGCAGCCGCAGCACCACGCACAGCAGCAGCCGGCGACCGGCAGCGACAACCATCAGCTTTGAGGTATTTTTTTCTTATAAATATATAAAATAATTTTAAGTTTTTAACTTGCATTTAGTCAATTACTTGAGAATATTTTAGTGCATTTGGATTTTGATCTATCCATTAAAATAAACTAATAAAGATTTCAGATTTGTATATTTTTAATTTTTATATTTAAACTTTATTTTTTTATTTGGATTTGCTCATTTATATAATTGTAATATTGTATTTTCTAATTTCTAGCAAAGGGTCAAATCTTAGACAAAAAAAAAGAGCAAAAGTAATAAAGAAAAAGAAACCACAATGAAAAAATGCATCCAATTGTCATTTTCTTTTCCTTATTTGCTCCTTAATAATGTAAGTGTGAATTCATTGTGAAATTGTTTTTTTTATTATATAGATGGCTGAACAAAATCAATCAAATGTGGGTGTGGCTAATCAAAGTCGAATAAGTATGGCTGATTCTACGGATAATACACCTACTACTAGCAATGATGCCTCAATTGGCACAAAGGAAACAAAAAAAAGAAAAGAAATGGATCCTAGGTCTACTGTTTGGCAATACTTCGAATTTTTTTTTGAAAATGGTTTATTAGTTAAAGCAAAGTGTTTACATTGTAAACAAAACTATGCTGCTAATACAACTAGAAATGGAACAAGTGGACTGAGACAACATTTGACTAACCGATGTAAAGTGTATAAGCCCCCGCCTGTTGCACCTGGCATTCAAAAATTGTTAAATTTTCAAAGTAACAGTTCTTCGATAGAGACTTGGAAATTTGAGCAAGAGGTATGTAGGAAAGCTTTAGTTGAGATGATAATTTTGGATGAGCTACCTTTTAGTTTTGTTGAAAAAGAAGGCTTTAAGAAATTTATGAGTAAAGTTCAACCTTTGTTTCGGATTCCTTCTCGTAGAACCATAACAAGGGATTCTTATGAAGTTTATGGTGAATTGAGAATGAATTTGAAAATGTCTTTTAGAGAAATACAACCAAGAATTTGTCTCACAACAGACACATGGACCTCGATGCAAAGAATCAATTATATGTGTTTGACTGCTCACTTTATTGATAGGGATTGGGTGCTTCATAAAAGAATATTGAATTTTTGTCCTATAACTAGTCATAAAGGTGAGCATTTGGCTGAGTGTATTAGTAATTGTTTACTTGATTGGAACTTGGACAATGTCTTTACTGTTACGGTTGATAATGCCTCTTCAAATGATGTGGCGGTTTTAGAGTTGTCCAAAAAATTAGATATGTGGGGAACTAATATGATGGAAGGTAAGCATCTCCATGTGAGATGTATGGCTCACATACTTAATTTAATTGTGCAAGATGGTTTGAAAGAAATTGGTCCTTCTATCAAACAGGTGAGACAAATGGTGAAATATGTTAGATCATCTTCTACAAGGACAAGAAACTTCTTGAAATGTGTTGAAATGCAAAAAATAGAATGTGATAAAATGTTGTCTTTAGATGTGCCTACTAGGTGGAATTCCACCTATTTGATGTTGGACACGGCAGAAAAATTTGAAAAGGCTTTTGAGAGGTTTGATCTTTATGATGGTAATTTTAATTCTTTTCTTGCTACTGATGTTTGTGAAGATGGAAGTATTGCAGGTTCAATTCAATATGAGGATTGGGCTAATGTGAGGAATATCACAAAGTTTCTTGAAAAATTTTATGAGCTCACATTGAAAGTTTCAGGTTCACGGTATGTTACTTGTAATGTTTATTTTGAGGATATATGTGAGCTTGATGCATACTTGAAAGTATGTATGACAAGTGATGATGTTGATTTGAGTAAAATGGCTTCGGGGATGAAAGAAAAGTTCAAGAAATATTGGGATACTCCTGAAAAGATGAACAAAATGCTTTTTATTGCTTTTGTTTTGGATCCTCGCAATAAATTTATGTATGTTAGTTTTGCTCTTGAAGAATTACTTGGGGAAGAAAAGGGACAGATAGTGAATAATGAAGTAAATGCTTACTTAAAGAATTTGTTTGCGATCTATGTAAGTAAGTATGCAAAAGGTTCTAAAAATCAATCATCTTCATCTGACTCCTCTGATTCATCTACTTATGGTCTTTCTCAAAATGTGAAAACAAATTCTTTGAGAACTAAGTTTTACATGAAGAAACAAAGGGAAGATTCTGGAAGTTTAGGTGTTAAATCTGAGTTGGATAGATATCTTCTTGAAGACCAAGAGCCTGAATCTGAGGACTTTGATAGTTTGATTTGGTGGAAAGTTAATTCTCCTAGATTTCCTATACTTTCACAGTTGGCTCGAGATGTATTGGTTATTCCTTTGTCGAGTGTGGCATCGGAATGTGCATTTAGCACGGGTGGTCGTATTCTTGATCCCTTTAGAAGTTCATTGACTCCCAAATGTGTGCAATGCCTTATTTGTGTTCAAGATTGGCTTAGACAAGAAACTAAGCTTCTTTGTGTTGAAGAAAGTTTGGAGTTTCTTGAAAAAATTGAACTTGGTAAGACTTTTTATTTTTTATTTGTTTTTGGAAAAAATAAAAGACTTATTGTGTTGTATGACATATTTGATTTTCTTATTTATAGAGATGGCAAATAGTGGAAGAAACTCTTCCATTGTTGATCTATGATTGGCTTGCAGGTCTCAAGTATTTAATAGTGGTGAGTTTAATACGTCATTTATTTAATCATATCATTTTTTTTAATCTTAAAAGTAGTATTCTAACATTTAATTTTATTTTAAAAGGTCCAAAGTCGAGACAATGAAGAAAGGTGTAAAGTACCGAGTTTTGTTAGTGTTTTGGTAATTTTGTTGGCACTTGAGACTTCAAAGTGGTCTCATGGAAGAAAGTCAAGAAACTACATTGTTTCTCATTATTGTTATTTGTTATTGTTGGCACCTGAAACTTGAAAGTGGTCTCATGGAAGAGGCTACATTGTTTGTTGTTCATTATTGTTGTTTGTTATTGTTGGCACTTGAAACTTGAAGGTGGTCTCATGGAAGAGGCTACATTGTTTGTTGTTTGTTATTGTTGACACTTGAAACTTGAAGGTGGTCTCATGGAAGAGGCTACATTGTTTGTTGCTCATTATTGTTGTTTGTTATTGTTGACACTTGAAACTTGAAAGTGGTCTCATGAAAACTACATTGGTGCATTATTGTTACTTGTTAGATTGTTAATGTGTTGTTGTGTAATGGCATGATCAATTGATTATTGTATTTGTGAAGTGTAGTGAAGTTTATTTACTTGTTAAATTGTTACTTGTTACTTGTTAGTGCCTTTTGGCCTATTTGATAGTGCCTTTTTGGCCTAAAACCGCCACATCATTTCGTATTATTCTAAGGATTCATTCATTTTAATTCGATTTTTGAGGGGGATAAAAATGGATTTAAATGTTTCCTTAGGAAATTAAAGGTTGATAGTTTAATTGAGTTGCCCTACATTCATTGAGTAAAACTATGATATTTTATAATAATGTTAAAGAGATTTGTATCACAACTCTTTGCCTATTTGTGTAATTGTGTGTTACTTTTTGAAAGAAAAAAAAGAACAATGATAACAACAAGTGTGGAACTTGGAAGTTGGAACTACTCACAATGCTTTTTTAGTAGTACTTAATTTAAATTTATAATTTATTGGCTTTTACACTTTTAGTAGTATTTTAATTATAATTTATTAACAAGGGCAAATTTCAATGATAATTGATAACGGCAGTTTCGTAGTTAGTACTTTTCATCATACAATAATTTAAAAAATAGAGTAAAATAAGTAAAAAGATATAAATAAAATAAAATAAACAAAAAAATTACAAAATTTTAAAAAGCCCACTAAGCAGGCCCATAACAAAAAAACCGAACTAACAAAAACCGAACCGAAATAACATAAACCGAACCGAAATAATAAAAACCGAACCGAACCGAACCGAATTATTTCGGTTCGGTATTCGGTACACGTTGTATAAAAACCGAAAACCGAAAAAAACCGAAAAAAAAAAAACCGAAACCGAACCGAAATACCGAATGTCCAGCCCTAGTCAAAATGAATATTTTTTTCTTTTAATGTCTAGCTAACAATTTTTGTTGTGGTCACAAAAACAACAATTCTCTAGATCATACACCTTCGCATATTGGTGAATATTGAAACGACTTACCAGATTATTGAATTATTATTGTGATTTTTTAAATTATTATGTTATGTATTGTTTTGTTATCTTATGTTTAAATTATTATGTTGTATTGTATTTTTACATTAAAAAATTCATCTTATCATTTAAAAATTGTGCATTCTTCATAGTAAATAATAATAATAATTTTAATTTATATCACTTAAAAGTGACAAAAAATATTTTTAAAACAAAATGTTAATTCTGGATGAAAGTAGTATATATTAAATAATATATTTTTAAAAATGTTATATACATTAAAAAGATATACAAATATTAAAGATTTAATTAATATGTTAATTAAAATATAATATAATAAAAATAATAAAAAAATATTCAAAAAGGAAAATAGTAGTAGTTCTATCTACCTATAAATGGAGAACATAGAGTGAAATAGAGAGTGATTTGTGAGCTCATTCTCTATTTTACTCTTCAAATATAAAGAATAGAGAGTAAAATAGAGGTAGGTTGGAGATGGTCTTAATCCTTTTATTTTATATTTCTATTTTAGACACAATCATCTCTAATCGATTTTTCTATTTTATATATTAGAAAAGAAATTTTCTTCATCTTTTCAATATTATATTATTATTTTTATTTCATAAATTTCTTTTATAAAAATTAATATAGTACATTAGAAATTAATTACGAATATTAGAGTTTTAGTTAATGATCTTATATGATTTATAATATATTAATTATAACTATTATAATATAAATAATATTAAAGAACTAGATTTCAAATATTTTTTTAAAAATGGTGGTTGGAGTACCAATCTCTATTTATTTTTTCCTCCTTCGTTTATGGAATTTGAAGAGTAAAATAAAATATGGTTGGAGTTACTATATGGATCAAAATATTATATTAAAATTAATAATCCAATATCCAATTGCCAGTTGGAACTTGGAACAGTACTACTCCAATTGACTTGATCTGGAATCTTTTGGATTTCGTATTTGCAGGGATGTTTCCCCATGTGTTTAGTTATTACTCCCTCCGTCCCATTTTATGTGCCACTATTTCCTTTTTGGTCAGTTCCAAAAAGAATGTCAGATTTCCTTATATGGTAAGTATTTAAAGGTATAATTCTTTTTTTACCTTTATTGGTCCCACTTAATCTTAAAATAATACTCCAATACATTTATGAGGAGAGAAAAAAATGAGTCTACTTTTTAAAGGGCAATTTGGTAAACAATTCAAAGTCTTCATTTATTTCTTAAACTCCGTGCCCGGTCAAATGTTGCCACATAAAATGGGACGGAGGGAGTATTATTTTTAAACTATTACACATAAAATTAAAAATAATATAAAAATTATAAATATCATTTTTTCCACCTCCTTGCAAATTTTAATGTTAGAGGGCGTATTATTAATCTTAAAGTGTTACAATATATGTTTGATACTAATTTTATGTTGAGAATCTATTTTTTCCACCTCCTTGAAAACCCTAATGTTAGATTTCTTTTTAAATTTAGGTTTATAAATCCATGATATTTTTACGTAGGTTAAATTTAAGTGTATTATAGGGTTTAATTACTACTTAGAATTATTTATTGTATGTTAGTTGTATTAATTGTTAAATTATAATACATTATTTTCAAATTTTAGTGTGTTATTTAGCTTTTTATTAGTTATTAATTGTAAAATGTGTTAGTTTAGTAATATTATAAGTTTATTGATTGTTCTTATAAGTTGAATATATAATTGTTATTACTTCAAATGTATATACTAATAATTAGGGTTTAGGAGATGAAAGATATGAGTTTGTGGCCTCTATCACTCAACTATGACCGTCATAAGGGTCTGATTAGACTATATGTGATCAAGTTTAATGATCGTATAAATGCCAATTTAAATAAATAATCGATGATGCGAGGAGTGAGGGGAGCCTCAAAATCCCCCAAGCCTCGTCGATGCGTCGCATCACCAATCCAACATCCAAAGTGTCAGTCCATACCTCGTTAGACCTATATCTGGACTATTGTCTATGTATTATCTCTTAAAAGGACCCTTGATGCATGCAATAATTTATACTGATAGATTAAAAAGTTATGTATATGCAATGCCTGAAATTAATATTTATAAGTTCGATGTTCATGTTATTGTTCTAGGTCTTGAAGTTACGAGATCTAAATCCTAATTTTTAGAAGTTATATTTTTACTAAACCTAAAATCTTAACTTTATTAGTGTAGACATTGAAATTTTGTGAGACTCTACAAGACGTGTTCAATTCGAATTGAGACTCTAGAAGGTGTGTTCAGTTTCAATTAGAATTCTCGGAGGCTACTCAACTTTATTTTATTATTGTTTTCTTTCTTGAAGTTAATTACAAGACCTAAGTCATTATTTTAATTAGTACATACATTTTTCAAGTTCATTTTGTTGTTATTTTAGATTTTGAAGTTATAAGGCCTTAGACATAATTTTATTAGTACTTTTTTTTTTTCAAGTTTATTTTATTGTTAGTTTAGGTCTTGAAGTTACAATATCTAAATCATAATTTTATTACTATGTACATTTTTTCATGATCGAATTACGTACAATTTTTTCATGGTCTAAGTACGTACATTATTTAAAGTTGTTTATTCTCTGTTAGTTGTATTAATTGTTCAATTGTTAATCATATGTCAATTAGTTAAGCTAATTTACAATTGTAATGTGCTATTTAGCTAGTATTTATTAATTTATTATTCATTAATTATTAAATGTTATTAATTTATTAATTATCGTTAGTTTAGTAATTACTAATTACTATTGATTAATTGTTATTACTTGAAATGTATGTACTCTAAAACTACAAGAGATAAGGACTCTAGCGAGGAAAAATGCGAACATAAAAGGTTCAAATTCGGAAACTATAAGACACTAATAATTTATAATCGTGTATAACATGATTGTTACATGTCACTAAAAGCTACTATGTTAAAAGGTAACAATCGGATTATAAATTTAGTCCGTGAATATATTTAATTAGTGGCAATAATTAATACGATAGTTATACTTACCTACAATGATCAAATTTTACCTTTGTTGATGATTCTCTGATCATTAAAACATTGAAATAAAATAACAAACTTCGATCGTTATAAGTATTTTTAGTGACTGAAATTTCTTTTGTTGACTACGATTAGTGATCGAATTTTCTTTCACAAATTATGATTAAATTATTCAAATAATTTGTGTGGTGCTGAAGTAAAATTATTTCATATGCTTTTCATTGATAATAAATGTCAAATAATTGATATTTACATAAAAATTCATTGTCAATTACGATGAATTGTAACATCATATTAATTATTGAAAAACATACCTATTAGATATAATATCTAAAAATATACATGTTCGTCATAATATCTATCAAATCATAAAAATTGAGAACATAAAATTACAGCATATCTACAAATAATATCCTTGAACCATCGTAAATAAAATAATAAAAATATAACTCTTCAATAAGCTCTATA